GCCATAGGATCTATGATTTTCTTTGTGGTCTCAACTCCGAATATGACCTTATTCGTGTTCAAATTCTTGGTAAGGAACAATTACCGTCTCTTTCTGAAGCTTTTCATATTGTCAGGGGTGAAGAAAGTCGTAGGATTGTCATGATGGATACCAAAGTGTCAGAAGGGTCCATTATGCTCTCATCTAAAGTTACTACTTCAACTCCTTCTGACTCTAATCCCACTGATGGGTCTGCTATGATTTCAACAAAAAGGGATGGTTCTTCTCAAAAGAACTCCTTTGGAAAATTTTCTGATGGTTCATCTTATAGACCGAAGAAAGATGATCGCTGGTGTTCTTATTGTAAAAGAACGGGTCATATCAAGGATCTATGTTTTCGCCTCCATGGAAAGCAAACGGTCTTAGACAAGATGGCAATGATGCGTGGTCAAGCACATTTTACTTCCTCTGAAATATCTCCTGCACCTAATGAGACCCAACCTGTGTTCCGTCAAGATGAGTTGGAACGGCTCCGCACCATCCTTGATTCTCTGAGTAAGCCATCTCATACTAATACTTTGGCTATGACTGGTATGAGCTCCAAAACTTATTCTTTTTTGTCTTCATGTACTGATTTTAAATATTCTTGGGTTGTTGATTCTGGTGCTACTGATCATATGGCTTGTTGTGCTGACCCCTTTACTTCTTATAATCCTACCATTGGAACTCATACCATAGCCGTAGCTGATGGCTCACATACATCAGTTGCGGGCTCTGGTAACATAAACTTACAACCGTCCTTACATCTTAAAAATGCTCTTCATGTTCCTAAACTCTCCACCAATCTTCTTTCTATTCATAAAATTACAAAAGATTTGAATTGTACTGTAACCTTCTTCCCTACCCATTGTGTTTTTCAGGATCTCGCCATGGGGAAGAAGATTGGTAGTGCTAAAGAGCAAGGTGGGTTGTACTATCTGGTGTCACAATCTCCCGCAAATAAAGTCACGGATCACATCTTGCTATCTCATGGTCAATCAACTGCTGATTCTTTGATTTGGCTTCATCATAAGCGCTTGGGACATCCTCCATTTAGTTTACTCAAGTCTTTATTTCCGTCATTGTTTTTGTCTAAGTCTGTTGAGTCTTTTCATTGTGATGTTTGTGAGTTTGCTAAGCATCATCGTGTGACTTTTCCTTCTAGTATTACTAAGAGTGTTGAACCTTTTGATATTATTCATTCTGATGTTTGGGGTCCTTCTAAGGTCCCTTATTCTTCTGGAAATAAATGGTTTGTTTCTTTTATTGATGATTGCACTCGTGTAACTTGGGTTTACTTAATGCGTGAAAAGTCTGAGGAACCACAACTGTTCTTTCAATTTTATTATAAAATGGTTGAAACCCAATTTGGTAAGAAAATCAAGAGACTAAGGACAGATAATGGTACTGAATATGTTAATCAAAGTTTTTCCCAATTTATACGAAATAACGGTATGATTGATGAACTTACTTGTGTTGACACCCCTCAACAGAATGGGGTTGTTGAAAGAAAAAATTGTCACCTTCTTGAAGTGGCTCGTGCATTAATGTTTCAGACACATGTACCCAAATACTATTGGGGAGATGCTATTCTTACTGCAGCATTCTTGATCAACCGTTTACCCACTCGGGTACTTGACCATGTAAGTCTTATTCACTCTATCACTTCCTTTTCCCCTTCTATTCCAACTAGGAGTCTTCCTCCACGGGTGTTTGGGTGTGTTGCTTTTGTTCATGTTCATAAACATCATCGCAGTAAGTTGGACCCTAGGGCTATTAAATGTGTCTTCCTTGGTTATGTTCCTGATAAAAAGGGGTACAAGTGCTATCACCCTGGTAGTCGAAATTTTTTTATTTCTATGGATGTTACATTTCAGGAATCTGAGTTCTTTTTCCAAGGTCCTCATCTTCAGGGGGAGAATAATTCACCAGAAAACTCATCACCTTCCTTCTTTGAGTCTGAACCTCCAGTGTCTATTCCTTTACCTGTGTCAGTGTCCCTTCTTTTGTTCCTGTTCCTTCCATGTCTGATCCTCCTGTGATTGATCCTCTCGTGACTGATACATCAAGTACACCAGAGATACGGTAGATTGTGACACCTGAATTGGTATATCAAAGAAGGAAACAACCCACATTGCCTCAACAGTAACCTCAATCGTCTGAACCACTGGTAAGTCTTGAATCTCATATTTTTGATCATGATGTTAATACTTCTGATGACTTACCCATTACTACTGCTTATGATGATTTACCCATTGCTTTGAGAAAAGGAAAAAGATCTTGTTCCAAGAAATCTTGTTCTTCCTGTCCTTGTTGTACTCAATACCCCTATCTCCCATTTTGTTTCCTCTGCTAATCTTTCTGTGCAGCACAAAAGCTTTGTATCAGCACTAGATTCTGTTTCAATCCCAAAATCAGTACATGAAGCCTTGAAAGATGGGAATTGGGCTCAAGCCATGCAAGAGGAGATGAAAACGTTGGAGAAAAATAAAACCCGAGAAGTTATTGATAGACCTAACGAAAAGAAAGCAGTGGGGTGCAGATGGGTTTATGCCCTGAAATATAATTCTGATGGAACTCTTGAAAGATATAAGGCTCGATTAGTCGCCAAAGGTTACACTCAAACCTATGGCATTGATTATGAAGAAACCTTTGCTCCAGTTGCAAAGATGAATACGGTGAGAGTCTTGTTATCCCTTGCTGCCCATTACAATTGGAATATAAATCAATTTAATGTGAAAAATACTTTCCTGAATGGTGAGTTAGAAGAAGAAGTCTACATGGAAATCCCGCCTGGTTTTGATTTTGTGAAGGGAGAAAATAAAGTTTGTAGATTAAAAAAGGCCTTGTATCGATTGAAGCAGTCACCTCGTGCCTGGTTTGGAAGGTTTACTAAGGTTATGATGACCTTAGGATATAGACAGATTCAAGAAGATCACACTCTTTTCTTCAAGCATTTCCAAAATGGGAAGCTGACTGTGCTCCTTGTATATGTTGATGATATTTTTATCATAGGTGATGATTTTGTGGAGAGACAGATTCTGCAAACACGGCTTGCCTCTGAGTTTGAAGTCAAAGACCTTGGAAAATTGAGATATTTCCTAGGGATATAAGTAGCTCATTCAAGCAAAGGAATTTTTATCAGCCAGAGGAAATATGTTCTGGATCTTCTCAAAGAAGAAGGAAAGCTTGGGTGTAAACCCTCTAATACTCCTATTAAACAGAATCACAAGATAGGCTATGAAGAGGAGAGTCCTCTGGTTGATAAAGGACAATATCAACGGCTAGTTGGGAAATTGATATATCTGGCTCATACTAGATCAGAGACCTAGCTTATGCTGTTAGTGTTGTCAGTCAGTTTATGCACGATCCAAAGGAGGAACACATGCAGGTAGTAGAGAGAATTCTTCAGTATCTTAAAGCTACTCCTGGTAAAAGATTGTTATTTCGACGTGATGTCAATCTCTCTTTAGAAGTCTACACTGATGCTGATTATGCTGGATCCGTGACTGACCGTCGATCTACCACTGGTTATTGCATGTTTCTTTGTGGTAACTTAGTGACATGGAGAAGTAAGAAACAAGATGTGGTTGCCAGGTCAAGTGCAGAAGCTGAATTTCGAGCTACGGCTCAAGGCATTTGTGAGTTACTGTGGCTGAAAATTGTACTTGATGATCTCAAAATAAAATGTGAGGGACCTATGAAGCTGCTATGTGACAATAAGTCCCGTATTTGTATAGCTCATAATCCGGTTCAACATGATCAGACTAAACATATTGAGGTCGACCGCCATTTCATCAAAGAGAAACTTGATAGCGGGTTGATTACTACTCCATACATTCTCACTGGGCGTCAATTAACTGATCTATTGACAAAGGGACTTCCTTCAGACAGATTTCAAGAACTTACTGGCAAGCTGGGAATGATAAATATCTATTCCTCAGCTTGAGGGGAGTGTTGTAAATATTAGGTCTTTTATTATTACTAGTGAATTAACCAAATAATCATGTATGAGTCATATTTTTTGCTTACATTGGAACAAATGTGTCTAAACAGCATCAAATCAATACACATGCTAAAAACTTGTAACAATATAAAGAACCCACAATGATAAATTTTTAAAAAACAATAACATACATTTGGGTCCACCAAAGACTTAAAGAATGAGGTGACAATAGCTTCGCTGCTTCAAACACTTGAATCTTAATATCTTGGCTCATTATATGACTCTAAAATATATTTTTTACGTTGACCTTAAATAACATGGAATTTTCATTAAGAACGTTAAGTTTTCCTGGATAATGTTCCAAATCAGAACCCTACATAAAAAAACTCCTTCAAAATTAAGTATAACTCGTGCGATGCACGGGAAAAAAGAAATTTGTTTGTCTGTCTCGTAAAAGTTAATGTAAATCATAAAAATATATCTCTGCATTTTATTTAAATCAATATTGTTAGCTACCTAACTCCAACTTTTTGTACATATAGAGTTGGCAAATTTTTGAGTTATTATGTTTAATATAAAATAAGAAAAGCAAAATTTTAATTTAATTACAAAAAAATATAGGCGGGTCAGTCCTCCAGACCGACTCCACTTTGCAACCTCTAATTGTCAGCATTATATACCAGCATGTAATAAATTTTTATATTATCCACACGTAAAAGTTCTTATATTTGCATCTAAGTTTTTATATTTTATTTCAGAGATGAACTTTCATTTATTACAATCAGATTTTAAAAAAATAATAATAATTAATTTTTTGCAAGGATTTGCACCGTTTGTATTTGAAATTTTACAAATTTGTATTTACAAAAATTAAAATCACATTTAAGAATTTAATTATAAAAGAAGAAGCACTACAGAAAAATCGGTTTTTCACGTCGGTTTAATAACGGTGGTTCAATTAAACCGCCTCAGATTAATGAATTGAACTCGCTCAGCCTCACGTTCAACTTTTTAATTAACCCCGACTACATCTACACATCTCACTCTCATCTTTCTCGTCGATCTTCTCAGCCCCAAGGTTCCCTTAACCAAAAAAGTTCTTTATTTTCTTCACATTTCCGCCATTGTCTTTTTTCATCGTTCCTCAACTTTTGATTATTTTGATTTGTCAATCATGCATTACATACATGCTCATTACATTGCTCTGCAAAAGAAATTCACATAAAGTTATATTTCCATTTGTAAATCTGAAAAACTATTGTAGTTTCGCTGCAAAATCTGATTATCAATCAACAACCATCTTCCATAAATCAACACATCACATTACCATTAGAAGTCAGAAAAAGAAAGTAATTACCTCAGTTATGGGTTCCTTCAAAGCCTTCCGAGTGACCCGAAACCTAATCCCCAACTTCTCAAGCTGTCTCGATAAAACCCTAACAACCGTAGCGGAGCTCCTCAAATCCTCCTCCAATTTCTCAATCCTCTCAAGCAAATTCACCTCCAAACCATCCTTCACCGTTTCCCTACAAACCCGACTCCATTGGCGCCTCCGAATCGACGCCCAACTCAAAACCCCAACCACCAACATCAAAATCCCCCATAGAGCAGCTCTGTTGCTAATTGCCGCCAAGACCTCCTTCTTCCAACACGCAATCACGGCCACACCAGCCGAAGAAAGCAGGCACGACAATTCGAGAAAAGAAAGGAGCGAGTCAAAAGCGGAATCGCCGACGACATGATTAGGCACAGCAGCACCTTCGGAACGGAAGCGAAAGGGAACGACGTGGGTTGCGAAGGAGCTGAATCTGTAGGGTGTGAATGATTTGAGGTTGAGGTGTGTGTGTGTGTGAACCTCGATCGTTAATCCATTTAACAAATCACGTATTTAATTAGATTTGTTAGATGTAGTGTAAGTAGAATAACTGTTAAAGATTGATTATAAGACTTATTATTTTTATAAGATGATGAAATATTTATGTGACAATGTAACGTTATAGATTCAATTATTTGGAAACTAATTTTGCCATAGTTATTTATAGGGGATATGGAGATGTGAATGATTGTCATAACTTAATGGTCATTGCATTTATATTCAGATATTTGATCTATCACTTTAGGACTTTAGGGCATGGTATGCAGTAGCTTATGGAATTTTGGAAAGCAAACCAGTACGGTTACCTGCCAAAATTTTATGCAGGATATTTCTTGCATTTGTATGGCCTAAATGTAGGCATCATGTCGGTTCATTATACTCCTGAAAGATTCTAATTTTGATATTGAAGCATAAAAAAAGACAGGATATGGAATTGGAATACATAAAAAAAGATTCTAATTTTATTTCTTTTTTCTTTTTTGTTAATCATTTTTAATGATAACTGGTTGCTTTGATTGTGATTTGTTTGTCTTCCTCTTCTTATTCTCGCTATTAGTGTTTAGAAGGCTGTCATCTAGCAGATGAAATCCATTTTTATTTTTGTTCCCGGTTTCATTTTTTTCACATGCGAATGCTTATTTTACTTATGAGAATGTGACTAGATGTGTTAGCAAATTTCATCTAAGTATATTTCATAGTTACAAGGAGTCAAGGATGACACATTTGATTTTTGTTTTATGCAGAACACAATCATTGATGAGCGTGGTTCATTTGCTGTGACCAGCCCTTTTCCAGGCCCATTGGGAGTCTTATTAAAGTCAATGAAAAAGTTTATTCACATGCTGCAGTTACCAATACGGGTTGCTTTATCCGGGGAAGTTCTTCCTCTTAAAGAAGATAAGGTAATGCCACAACAACTGTCCATATGCTTTCTCTTCATCATTTCATGATCGATAATATAATTTACCCTAATAATTCCTAGCTATTAAATACAGCTGGTTGTCTTGTCTCTCTATAAAAAAGGCAATTCTAGTTGTGAAGGGTTGTCTCTGCATTCCTTATAAGAAGGAAGTAAGCGAGAGAGATCTAATGAGAATTGAGATCTATATATAATCTACTCAAAGAAGAAGCGATCGATCCTTTTCTCAAAAAAATTGGGTCATTCTCAGAATTCAAAAAAGAAAAGAGAGAAAGAGCTCTAGCTAGATCACATAACATGGGGAGGCCACCTTGCTTTGACAAAATTTGGATTAAGAAAGGACCTTGGACTCCAGAGGAAGACATCACCTTGGTCTCTTACATTCAAGAACACGGACCAGGGAATTGGAGATCAGTTCCCATCAATACTGGTAATTTTTATATATATATATATATATATATATATATATATATATATATATATATATATAATTAACCTAATTACATATATACTTCTTTAATTTGTTCATTCAGTTTTCATTTCTTTGCTTGTAGCTTTTTTGAGCTTCATATATATATGTATTGTTGGGAAGGGATGTAATAACTGATTTCGTAACCATTAATTTTTTTTATTTTTATTTTTTCTAGGTTTGATGAGATGCAGTAAAAGCTGCAGACTTAGATGGACTAACTACCTTCGACCAGGTATCAAACGAGGTAACTTCACTGATCATGAAGAGAAGATGATAATCCACCATTGCATACAACAAGTAGTTCCCCCTTAATGGCTATTAAGTTTCTTTTTCTTTTTTCATTTTTTAATCAAAGTGACAATTTCTTAACAGACTTTATATGCAAAACTTGAATTTCTTTGAAATTATTGGGTTCTTATTTCACTTTATGGTTTCACTACTTATATAGCCTATTCCTTTTATTCTGTTAGTCGTTGTTTTGCTCAGTATCTTAGAGTGATTCACATGAATACATAATGTTTAGGCATGTATCCATTTGGACATTGGCAGGTACACTCTGAACATAATGTTTAGGCATGTATCCATGTGTAGTGGAACAAGTAGCCATTGTTTTAATTTTTAACATTAGTTTGATCTACCTTGTGTCCTTTATTATGCTCATACAGGTACATTCAAAATGCATAAATATTTTAGTAAATCAAGTAAATAACTCTTATAAGAAGCTATTTTGTTCTATTAACCTATTTTGTTGAGCGGTAATATAAAAAAATAGGCTTTAATATAAATAAATATAAATTACAAATCTCTGGTATTCTCTCTCTTCTTTTTACTTTAATCCATTAACCTATTTTGTTCTAAAAATATAAACATGACCTTCTAGAAATATATATATATATATGTTCAGAATTTTTTTTATGGTATTAAGGAAATTGAAGTTAAAGTAGATGGGAATGGTTAAAGACCAAGATAGTTGGTTGTTTGTCATTTAGTTAATGAATTGTTGACATTTCTATGACATATACGATGCAAGTTACCTTGGTCTCTTGTGTGTGCAGTTTTTTTGTATTAAATGGAGAAAGATAATTGGTTGTTGAATTGCTAAAGTCAAGATAAAGTAGTAAAGCTACCACCTAAGCTTTTGTTGTCTTAAACTATTGAATGAATGAATTTTAATTCCTTTTAGCTACATGTCCAGCCGTATGGTTGATGGAGGAGTGACTAGGCTAAGAACCTATAATATACCATTAAGAGATTTAAACGTCAAATAAAGTAGACTACTTAAGTAACTAGTCAAAGCTTCCAATTTAAGTCTCAAAAGAGAGATATTTTTGCCTATAGAAGTCGGTTATGTTAAGGTAGCAACGCACTACTTTCCAAGGTAGCAAAATCCATCTCCAATTGTTTCTAATGTATCAAGATTGGAGTCTTTTGACTCTGCACATGAAAAGGAGCTAACTGTGGATGACATTGAAGACTTTGACGATGATACTGCTGCTGCAATGGTCGAAAGTTTCAGGGCTAAAAGGACTCTAAATGATGCTTCTGATCTTGCAGTGAAATTGCCTTCTTTTTCCACAGGTGATTATTCTAGAAAACTTATCTTCTGGATAAGTTCTTTGCATCCCCACAAATCTTATGCAGTCTAAATATTATCAGATGAATAGTATTTTGACTTGAAATGTGTGGAATAGTCATGGAAATGGGGAGACATATGCATAAGAAACTTGAATGAACGCAATTGTGGTAAGGTAACCTCTTGTATATGATGTCACTATTTGCTGATTGCTGAGTCACAGAAGTCATTGCTAAGGTGGAAACCTGTATCATTAAGGGGCATAGCATTTCTATGATTGCCCTTGTGCCTTTGTATGGGTAAAGGACATGTCTTAACCAGAAATTTCTCCCATCTCATCTTTTGTGGGACAGAGTAGTTTTCTTGGCTTCTATGTGGTGTTTGCCCATGGTTGTTTTATGGGGTGTTTCTATAATGGATATCCACAGAGATTGGAGATCTCTTTTGCTATGATGGTTTTATTTATTTTTTGTAGCTCTAATAGGATTACTTATCCTACTTCTTTGTAGTTCTAATCTTTCACAGTTTTACATAATGATTTCTTCTTTTATAGAAAAATAATAAGATATAACTTTTGGATGATTTATGCATCAAATTTGTATTGAAAGGTTTAAACTGAAGCTTTCATGAACCTTCCTAATTTGTGGTTTTACTTGAAGGCGTCACAGATAATGATCTCCGTGAAACTGCATATGAGATCCTCTTGGCTTGTGCTGGAGCCACAGGGTATGCTATCATGATGTGTTTAATTTTAGGGGATCTCTTTTCCTTGTAAAAGATTTATAAGTGGATTCTTTTTAAATGTGAAATCTTTGATCTGTTTCTTGTTTAAGAGGGGTCTAATTATCCCATCTAAAGAAAAAAAGAAAGATAAAAAATCCAGCTTGCTTAAGAAGCTTGGGCGCAGCAAAATTGGAAGTGTTGTATCCCAGTCTCAGAATGCTCCTGGATTAGTTGGCTTGTTGGAAACCATGCGTGTGCAAATGGAGGTATACAAGGGGCTCAGGTTCCATTTACTTATGCTTTGATTCTTTGGTCCTTTCCCTGATCTTTTCCGCCGTTATGTTTTTATTTTTGCAATGTAGCTTGGTATACTATTCTAATGTGCAAGGACCATTGTTTTCTCTATATGAATATTATATTAGTAAAATAATTATAATACTGTGGCTTCCCCTTTCCTGACGGAGGTGGTTCAGAAGCTGGGTTGGTATTTTTTAAGATGGACTCTGGAGCCTTGTCTGTTATTGTTATAATAAATTAAGTAGCTAGTTTATTTAATATTATCATGTATTTGGATCAATTAAGTTTTAATGGTGAGACATTTTACATTTGTAACACTATTTGTGTTATCTTGGATTACATTTTAAATTTGCAAAGCAGATTTACTTTGTTTTATCATGTATTTGGATCTATTTTTTTTTTTGGTGAAAATGTATTTGGATCTATTAAGTTTTAATGGTGAGACATTTTACATTTGTTAAGACTATTTGTATTTATTTTGGATTACATTTAATTATGTATAAATTTAATGATAATAGATTCAAAAGTTTAAATGTTCGATTAATCAATATGTTTTTTGTAATGATATAAATAATTATAAGATTTTATTAAAATATTTTATTTTAACGTCGGTTATGTAAATATAATGTCGGTTTTGTTTTTAACGTCGCTTATTTCGTCGGTTGTGTGAAACTGACGCTAAAATATTTAACGGTGCCAATTTCTACGTCAGTCTTAAAAAGGCCACCAAAATTTTTTGCGGCGGTTCAAACCGCCGCTAAAGTTAAAATAAACCGCCGCTAAAATACATTTTTGCTGTTGTGAAGGATGCAATTTTAATTTAATTATGCACATTTTATAATCACATTTCAGAAAATAAAGAGTTATTATTAATTTGAAAATTTCAATTTGAAAGCAGTAGGACATCGAATGAGTTGTCTGCCACCAACTTCAAATATATATGATCCTCCAACCACTACAACACTCACCATCTATTCGAAGTTCACACAATTCTAAGTCACCTCCGAGGCTGAGAACCTAGCTAGACGTTTCAACTTCATCTCTCTTATGAGCCTGTCTGCTCCCACTTCAATTCCCAAAGCCTAGCCCTCACCCACACCTTAAAACCCAACCGGTTGTCTTTTCCTTTTAATGACATTTATGCCCTTCCTTTCCTTCAATGGCGTAACCTACGTTAGTTCCTCTCTCTCATTCCCGAGATATAAGACATTATGGTCGTTTGGTACGTGGGATTTTACCGGATTCTCGGAAAACTGAATTTTTCTAAATTTTAAATTTTTGGATATTTTCGTAAACTGAATGTAAAAATCATATGTTTGAAAATTAAGATTCTCGGACAAATAAAAATTTCTCCTGTACCAAACGGCAGATAGAGAAGAAATCAATGTTAATTTTAATCATTTGTGAATTTAAATATTATATCTAGTATAAAAGCGTAAGTAATGCTGAACTTTTTTTTTTTTGGGTCTTTTGATTTTTCGATAAATATAGAAAAAAAAACTTTAAATATTTTTTAAAATGAGGGTTAACAATTTGCATGTAAAAAATAGAAGAAATTTAATACAGTTGTCTCCCACTAAAATAGTGGAGGGAACTTAATTGTTAGGTGACTGATTTCAATTTCAATTAATACATTTCCCACCCATTTCAAATTTCAATTTTGAATTTTGAATTGAGAACATCACTAATACAGCTGACTGCCACCAATTAGTTTATAATGATTTAAAAGAAATTCTCCCTCCTATGTAGAATTTTTTTATTTACGAAATAAAAAATATTTCTAAAAAAAGTAACTTTTCAAACTATCTCCATTGTGAACACAAAGCTGAGAATTAAGGAGGAAGTGACACCTCAGCTAATTTTCAAAAGTTTGGTTCTCCTTTCTATATAGTAAGATTTTAATTCGATTTTTAGAGTAAATTATATATTTATTTAATTTAAACTGTTTAGCCTTTATTTTGCAATTTAAGATCCCATTGAATCTGTTGAGCAATTACAGTGTGTCATTTCAGTTCAAGAATCAGAAAAACCATTTATAGTGACAACGCCAATTACATTTTAGGTGGCAATGATAATAAATGACATTTATAACTATAAATATTGTTTGATTTATGTCTTTACATATTCCATTAAATCTGTACATTAAATTTTCATATACGTTATCTTTACCTACTTAAATGCCATTTAAAATGACGTTTCACTTACCCGTAACAATTAGCATGTAGGGCAACAGATTGGACTTCAGCGTAAAACGTAAAAGTCCTTTTTTAAAATGACGTTTCTTGCAGTTTTTATAACTTCGAACAGATTGTAATTATACCCGATTAACCCCTTTTTTTAAAAGCGTCATTAATCCTTGCTGCATTGGTATTGTAAAAGTTTGGACATGGGGTATAACAATTTTTTCATTTAAATTTCAAATATATATGATCCTCCAACCACTACAACACTCACCATCTATTCGAAGTTCACACAATTCTCAGTCACCTCCGAGGCTGAGAACCTAGCTAGACGTTTCAACTTCATCTCTCTTATGAGCCTGTCTGCTCCCACTTCAATTCCCAAAGCCTAGCCCTCACCTACACCTTAAAACCCAACCGGTTTTCTTTTCCTTTTAATGACATTTATGCCCTTCCTTTCCTTCAATGGCGTAACCTACGTTAGTTCCTCTCTCTCATTCCCGAGATATAAGACATTATGGTCGTTTGGTACGTGGGATTTTACCGGATTCTCGGAAAACTGAATTTTTCTAAATTTTAAATTTTTGGATATTTTCGTAAACTGAATGTAAAAATAATATGTTTGAAAATTAAGATTCCCGGACAAATAAAAATTTCTCCTGTACCAAACGTCAGATAGAGAAGAAATCAATGTTAATTTTAATCATTTGTGAATTTAAATTTTATATCTAGTATAAAAGCGTAAGTAATGCTTGAACCTTTTTTTTTTTTGGGTCTTTTGATTTTTCGATAAATATAGAAAAAAAAACTTTAAACAATTTTTAAAATGAGGGTTAACAATTTGCATGTAAAAAATAGAAGAAATTTAATAGAGTTGTCTCCCACTAAAATAGTGGAGGGAACTTAATTGTTAGGTGACTGATTTCAATTTCAATTAATACACTTCCCACCCATTTCAAATTTCAATTTTAAATTTTGAATTGAGAACATCACTAATACAGCTGACTGCCACCAATTATTTTATAATGATTTAAAAGAAACTCTCCCTCCTTTGTAGAATTTTTTTATTTGCAAAATAAAAAATATTTCTAAAAAAAGTAACTTTTCAAACTATCTCCAGTTTGAACACAAAGCTGAGAATTAAGGAGGAAGTGACACCTCAGCTAATTTTCAAAAGTTTGGTTCTCCTTTCTATATAGTAATATTTTAATTCGATTTTTAGAGTAAATTATATATTTATTTAATTTAAACTGTTTAGCCTTTATTTTGCAATTTAAGATCCCAACGAATCTGTTGAGCAATTACAATGTGTCATTTCAGTTCAAGAATAAGAAAAACCATTTATAGTGACAACGACAATTACGTTTTAGGTGGCAATGATAATAAATGACTTTATAACTATTAATATTTTTGATTTATGTCTTTACATATTCCACTAAATCTGTACATTAAATTTTCATATACGTTATCTTTACCTACTTAAATGCCATTTAAAATGACGTTTCACTTACCCGTAACTATTAGCATGTAGGGCAACAGATTGGACTTCAGCGTAAAACGTAAAAGTCCTTTTTTAAAATGACGTTTCGTGCAGTTTTTATAACTTCGAACAGATTGTAATTATACCTGATTAACCCCTTTTTTAAAACGTCCTTAATCCTTGCTGCATTGGTATTGTAAAAGTTTGGACACGGGGTATAACAATTTTTTCATTTAAATTTCAAATATATATCATCCTCCAACCACTACAACACTCACCATATATTCGAAGTTCACACAATTCTCAGTCACCTCCGAGGCTGAGAAACTAGCTAGACGTTTCAACTTCATATCTCTTATGAGCCTGTCTGCTCCCACTTCAATTCCCAAAGCATAGCCCTCACCTACACCTTAAAACCCAACCGGCTGTCTGTTCCTTTTAATGACATTTATGCCCTTCCTTTCCGTCAATGGCGTAACCTACGTTAGTTCCTCTCTCTCATTCCCGAGATATAAGACATTATGGTCGTTTGGTACGAGGGATTTTACCGGATTCTCGGAAAACTGAATTTTTCTAAATTTTAAATTTTTGGATATTTTCGTAAACTGAATGTAAAAATAATATGTTTGAAAATTAAGATTCTCGGACAAATAAAAATTTCTCCTGTACCAAACGCCAGATAGAGAAGAAATCAATGTTAATTTTAATCATTTGTGAATTTAAATATTATATCTAGTATAAAAGCGCAAGTACTGCTGAACTTTTTTTTTTTTTGGGGTCTTTTGATTTTTCGATAAATATAGAAAAAACTTTTAATATT